CATGGTGGCCACGCGGCCGGGCCTCACCGCGGCCCGAGCACGGAGACCGAAAGCTGAGTTTTGCTCGTTAAGGGCCCCGTGGACAGGCTCCCTCTGACCTCTCGTCATTTTTTGAAAATCGCTAAGTGACCGGGCTTTCCCACTGGAGAAGAGAGTGAGGAAGGCGAGGCCCCCATCCTCCTCCTGGGCAGGTCCCCACGCCGGCTTGGGGTTCGCTGAAAAAATCGATTTCTTTGGCTTGCAAGCCAGGGGCGCCGATGCCATGTCTGTGTCCTCCGACACCCCTGCCCGGTCCCTCTGGTGTCTCCCACCCGCACGTGAGGGCCACGCAGGGGAATGGGTCACCGTGGTCTGCAGCCATCGCACACCCAGAGCCGACCTTGGCGTGACCCCCGGGCCGGCCCGGATCACTCACAGGCCGCAGGGCCGCTGGGAGCACGAAGGGGCCTTTGAGGAGCAGCCGCGCGTTTATGAGCTCGTCCTGCTGCTCGGAACAAAGCACACCCGCCCGTAAAGCAGCTTCACTGTGGGCACCCATCTCGCAGCGAAGGGCACCCCGACTCTGATCCACAAAGGCAACCGCAAAACTGCCGGAATCCTTTCAAACCCCAACACTGACCTCGACTGAAGAACCACACACTCTCACACACTCTCTCTCACACACACACTGACACACTCACACACACTCTCACACACGCACACACACACACACTCACTCACACACACATACTCATACACACACACACTCACACACACACATTCACACCCACACTCACACTCACACACACATACTCTTACACACACACACACATTCACACCCCCCCACACACACACACACTCACTCACACACACATACTCATACACACACACACTCACACACACACATTCACACCCACACTCACACTCACACACACATACTCTTACACACACACACACATTCACACCCCCCCACACACACACACACTCACTCACACACACATACTCATACACACACATATACACACACACTCGCGCACACTCACAAACATGTACACTCATACACACACTCATGCACACACTCATACTTACACACACTCACACATATACACACAGACATATGCACATTCATGCACACACACTCATATACTCACACACACAACTCACACTCATGCATACACTCACACACATACACACATTCATACCCACACTCATACTCACACACTCACACATGCACACGCACACGCACACTCACACACACGCTCACACACACACTCACACACACAAACACACATACCCACACGCACTCACATACACACACTCACACAGTCACACACTCTGGGGAGGAAGCAGGCCGCGGGTGATCCAGACCCACAGCTTCGTCACTGACTGAGGAGAAGCAACGGCGTTTCAGATGCCACCTCCCCACTGGCCCGGACGAGGTCACCCAGAAAGACGACACGCTCAGCGGTGAGGCTCCCCCGGAGACGCGCTGCTTTCAAGGTCAAGGGAGGCTTTCGCGGGAGGCAGGAGGTCGCAGGGACCGGGCCATGATGGAGGCCTTCCTTCGCACACGAGGAGGAGAGTTTGAGGTGGCAGGTGACCTGAAACTCGGGCTCAGCCAGAGGGCTGACCAACGGAGGACAGGACCCGAGGGGCCCGCAGAAGCCAGAGACACCAGTGACGCCCACGGCGGGGGCGGTGCACCGAGGTCCTGTGTGGATTGACTAAGTCCTGTGGGTTCCCCAGACGGGTCTAAACGGGGGCAGCGGACAAGGTTTGGAGACACGTTGGGTTGTCCAGTTTTGGGTCGGGGGAGGGGGGTGGCGGGCTGCTGGCATCTGGTGGGCAGAGGCCAGGGAGCTGTGAGACACCCCATGGTGCCCGGGCGGCCCACAGCAGAGCATGATTCCCCACAGTCAGCGGTGCCCGGGAGCCCGTCGCCAGGTCAGACCCCGAGGACAGCCCCATGGGGCGGCTTTCAGAGCGGCCCCCAGGCTCAGGAAAGTGAGTGCAGCAGCCGGCGGGGCAGCCAACAGACCAGAAACAGGACCTGGGTGTGGGGGCGCCTCTGGGCCCTGGGAGCCAGGGTGGCTGGAGCGCCCCGTCCCTATGCTGGGGGTAGGGGGCGGGGAACAACGATGGCTTTCTCAGGGCCTGGCACCCAGCACGCCAGGCCCTGCGTGAACCGCAGGTGTAACCCCCGACGCGTCCCCCCTGAGCTGACCGTTGGCTCTGCCACCTGGGAAGGGGCAGGCCGGTGCTTGCCTCGCTGAGCTCCCCGGGCGTGAGTCACATGTAACCAGATAATGATGCAAATCGCTGTCAACGCATCTAGGGTTTCACCCAGCCTCCCCCGGATGAGGGCGA